GCGGCGGCACCCCTACGGGCCACGCGCCCAACGGCTCCTCCGGAGAAACCCCGCTCCTGAGGCGAGGCGAGGCGACCCGACCGCCTGGGGTTGCGGGGTGGCGTCGCGGGTGGGGAGGCCGGGGAAGGGCCCCGGCGTGGCCGCTCTCCCCGTCCCTCGCACTCGGGCCGGCGGTAGGGGAAGCGCCGAGCCGCTCCGAGGCCCACCTGCCTGGGTAGGAGGAGGGCCAGGAGCAAGAGCCCCAGGCCGAGCCGCGCCGCCAGCGCCGTCCCCATGCCCGTCGTCGTCTGCTGCTGCTGTCCCGCCGGGGCCCCCCCGGCCCGGGCTGCCGCTCGTACCGCTGTGGCTGCGGGCGAGAGAGATGCACGGCTGAGCCGCCGCCCGCCCTTTTTATGTCAGCGCGGGCTGCCGTGACGCCCCGCCGCCGCCTTCCCCCTCCTCCTCCCCACACCTCTGCTCCCGCCCTCCGTGCCCACAAGTCGCTGCCTCCGCCTCGGCCCCTCTGCCCAGAGGGCTCCGCTTCCCCTCCCCGAGCCGGGCCCTGCTCGGGGCACTCGGGTCCCGCTGGCCTCTCTTGGCCGGAGCCGAGGGCTTTGTTTCCCCCGGTTGAGGTCTCGCAGGCGGCGGTGGGGTCGTCGTCTGGTGCCGGCGTCGCGTTCTGGTACTGAGGGGCCCGAGTTGGAGTTACTCCGGAGAAACGCTTATGCTTATAACAACGTCAGGCTTTTTCACTTAAACGTTCAAATCGAGGGTGAGAGAAGGAGAGGTAAAGAAAGCTGTACGTATTTCCGGAAAAATGATGGGAACGGTGGGTAAAAGGCTGAGGGGTTAAGATCCCGTCTTGTTCAGAGCCGCCTCGCCACTAGTGCTCAGAGTTCAGGCCGCAGGCTGCAATTTCAAGCGCTCTTTGGATCTGAATATTTTATTATTACCACTATTTCTTAAAGAGTAGGAAACCTGTGTAACAAGTGGAACAGAAGGTTCTTCCAGCTGTAGCCTCTGAGTATGTAGGGTTCTAGCTTCTGGCAGGGTAGATGCTGGGGTTATATTGTATCTCCTCTCTTAATAGGCTGGAGACTGATTGTGCCAATGCCTCACCAAATCAGTCGGGTATCTCAGTGTACGGGCAAATTAACAAAAATAGTCTGTGACCGCTTTATAAACTACAAAAAGAGACACCGATGTGCCGATTTTATTGTGACAAAGCAGTCACTTCCATTTAAAAGGAGGATGTCCTGTTAGCTCAGACTAATCAACGGATTTTAAAATGGTGTATCTTCATATTTATCTCAGAACAAAGTGTGAGGAGATATCAAAGTTCAGCACTACATAACTCATTCGCCGTCTCCAGGGGCGGGACTGCATTTCAGGAGTTTTTGAGGGCATTGCTAGAACTCGGTCCTGAAGCACAGGAGATGGGGAGACATGCTGCAGAACTGGATGCTGGGACTTGTGTTAGGCAAAATATGTATGTAATTCTAAACCCAGTCCCACGCTAATTGCTTCAGAACGCCTGACAAAGCTGTAGTTATTTTGTTTTTCCAGGAATAAAGGCATTTTGCCAGCTGTACCACCCAAGATATCAATCCTTATTCTATACCAAGATGAAAGATCTTCTGAGAGGTACACTAAGCCTGAAGCACTCATGAAGTAACATTTCCTTGGTTTTTATACATCCCTGATCGTAGTCAGAGTCCGGTTCCCAAGTATTAGAGGCATAGTCTACCTGTAGAGTAACTATGGGAATAGTCATCAAATTGAGGGTCTTATGTCCCTGAATATTCACTGTTTGTCTGCTGAAAGCTGGTTACCAGAAGATGGGCTTTCACGATTAGAGAGATACAGGAAGAAAAAAAAGGAAACTATAATTGACTTAAAAGAGGGGTGAGAAAGCTGGAAACTTTCCTATTACTGCTTTTCCTTGCAAAGACTTTGCTTTAGTTATCACAGTTAAATGAAATCACAAACAGGAGGGAAGGTGATCTTTTCACTCAGTAGACATGCCTAATGCTACAGAAAAGTGAAATTCCCTGTGGGAGAAGTCACATGAATCACAGCAATAAAGTGAGGGCTCACACTATTCTGACACCAGATCCCCTGGAGGAGATGCAAAAGGAAGGGAATCCAGTTAGGGCTCTACAACAGCCAAAGCGAAGAATATTCTAGTGTAAAGCTGACAGAGATGGTTTCCATTATCATCTCTCCTGCCTTGTTTGGGAGAAAAGGAAGTGATACAGCTGTTGCATGATCCTGTGGGATCATAACTGGCTGCTGCAGATTAAAGCAGCAGCTGAGACACGTTAATGTCAAAGCTGGGACAGAGGAGGATGAGGGAATAACTATCAGATGGCTTTTCCCATTCTCTCTACCCAGTGCATCTCACCTGAGGTCTAGAACTGCATCTGTAAAAAATGAGGATGGTGCACAGTTCTTGTAAGGTGACATGAACCAACACAGCATTATAAAACTGCTAATTATTATTATATAGTGTATTGCACTTTCGGTGTTTTAACAATTTTCAGTGAAAATGGGGATATCTTTCTTCTTGCTAAAAACATTATAAAGTCTGTTCCTTTATTTAAAAATAAAAATGCAGAGGTTTTAAAACATTTGGCAGAAATTATGAATTACTGAAATAATAAAACTATGTTAAGTTTATGTTCTGAGGCCAAAAAACCACGCCTTTCTGAAATATTCATGAAATACTAATGCAAATAAGGAAATGTACTGGCAGCAAGGCAAAAGTGCTAAAAATATTTTAAGCCCAAGATTTTCTTTGAAACTTTTGTCATTGGAAATTATAATTATAATGCCTACACTACATTAGATTTCTGCGACCAACTCTCCCCATTCAGGAAAGCTGCAATATTCTTGATTCCTCTTGAACACATAAATCACCTGCACTCCTAATTCCAAAATCTTTACTTTTTTCAGCTGTAGTCTATAATGAAGTCTGCAAAAGATGTATCTGAGCAAGAGACCAGGACCCAATATATGGATTTTTCTACGAGGCAAGAAATCCTGTAATCGAGTTGAGAACTGTACAAAGTGAAGCACTGCTATCTGGTGGCCAAAAGGCACTTCTGATTTTTTTCTGTCAGAAAAAACAATATACTCTCCAAATCAAACATCCTTTGGTAGCAATGTGCTCTAAGAGCTTTCATGATGCTGAGATATAGTGTCAAATATTATTGCTAAATCCCCATTGTTCTGCTTCCTTTGTTTTTTTCTGGGTCAGAATAGTACCCAGCACCTCTCCCAGTTAAATACATAATATTTGATGAGAAAGCTTAACAAAGAGAAGGGAAAAAATTACTTTGATCTTTTGGGTTAAATGTAAGTTCATCTATATATTCCACTGATGACTTTTGACTTGATTGAACTTTCCAATAGGCGTAATTTTCAATCTAGTCACCAGAAGCAAAACTTGTGCTGCTTTGTATAATGCATTAGCAAACAAGATCAGCTAAAATGACAGGCAGGAAAAAAAAAAAATTAGTCATCTATAAAAGGAAGCAGAGAAGTAGTCTCCAAGCCATGTAAGTAGTGTATTTAAATTTGGTCAAGCTTTAGCAGAATAAGTGTAGCCAGAACATTGAGTGGAATTCATGAGAACTAATTTTGACTTAACCATTAATTTACTCTTGCCTTTTAGCTGCCAATCTCGATCCATCTAAACTTAAATATTTTAGGAGCATAAATTGCCAGTGAGAGTCACTGGATCCTGTGCTCCCAACCAGCTCTTCACTCTCCTTGGCTGTGCATAGACTAGAATTCACGACACCCTGTGGCTCATCCCAGGGTCTTCATCCATTTCAAGCTCATGCTAGAGTGCACTGCAGCTCTCGGTACTCACCTGGGTCATATTATGAGTTATTTTAGTTAATACCCATGTGTGAATGTTATGCATTTATATATCAGAACCTGATCTTTTTTCAAAAGACAACTTTGAAGAGAGAAATCCAGCTTTGCAGTGTGTATCAATTAGCCCATATGTGCTGATCTATGCTGACATCATCTGGTGATAAGTTTCTTTGATGTCCATTTTTGCCATAAGGATTTTGCCTTGAGAAACTCACAGGTCAATATTTCCTAATATATAGGAACACTATCTTTTTGATAAGCTAGGCTGGCCCTTCTCTTGCTACTTGTTTAGTGGAAAGGACCTATCTTGCAGCAGCATCAGAGCTTCAACCATGTAATCAAAATTTGCCAGCTTTTTTGAAGCACCCTTCCTTACAGTTGCACATTCACTGTCATTGCAGAACAAAACTGAAATACTGATGGGAGCTGGCTGGTTGAAACTGATTTTAGACAACCGGACAAAGCTGTTTGGCATGTGCCTTGGGTAAGAACTTGGAATATATATTGAGGATTACATTCCCTCTTCCAGTGGAGGGTTTATATTAAATCTATGTAAGCAGAGCTTTTAATGGAAGGCATGATTGGTGGTCCTGTAAATCTCCACTTGGTAATAAATGTCAATTGGATTCAACTATACGTGTCTTCAGACATGGGCCTTGCTGTCATGGTCCAGACCCTCATTACACCAGCATTCCAGCAGTGCCACTGTTTCCCTTCTATGTTGATCTTACGCAAAAAGCATTGGGCTGCTTAATTAGCGGTATATAGTTATGGAAGTAAACAAAGCCATGATTTCCAGCCCTGGAATCATAAGCCTGGAATTCTGAGCAGAAGTGAAACTGTGATTCCAGAAATAGTCCCAAGAAGAAATGTTTAAGAGTTGCTGCCCTAATACCCATGGATCTTTTGACTTCTGGGTAGACTTCAAGGGATGGTGTCAGCTTACACAATTAGGTGTGGCTTCAGATGTGCTTGAAAGCACATCTTTCTCCCTAAGTCAAACAAACTCTTGGGTGACATCAATACAAACAAATTAAATGGTAGCAGAGCCTGTTCTTTGGCCTTGAGGCCAACTGGCATGTGTAGCCACATCCATACTATTAAACTCTCCTAGCCTCCAGAAAACAGAGGCTGAATCTAAACTGCCTATTGGTAGGTAGTTGTCCCTGGCCTGGGCCAACCCCTGAATCATGCTCAGGAATTGTTTGGGATAATGCCACTTGGTATGGGACAAAACCAAGACAGGGCTTTTCTTCAACTCATGAGGCATAACGTGAAGTAACAGGTCTATAGACATGAAGAAGTAAAAATAATCAAAGGTCATGTTCTCCATCTTCTGATCTGAGGCAGGTTTAAACATAATTCTCAGAAAAAATCAGTGAAGGGTATTCCACAGCCCATAGGCCTCCTGTTTCTTTGACAACTATCTTTGTAGAATATTTCTCTTAATACAAAGCCTTCTTTGCTGCAGATTTAAAGTAATGATTTATTAATTACATCACCATAG